TCGTGTGCAGCAGCAGCGGCAGCAGTAGCAGCATGGGGTCGAACTGTTGTGAGTGTGCATGTGCAATTTTGCTTGTACATGTCGCGTGTTTTTGTTACTGGCGCACAACACACGAGGTAACAGATCGCTGCTACAGCGAGGTTTTACCGTTGGCGAAGTTGGCGACAGTTGACAGTTGATCTTTTACATCGTTTGGTGTGCGTGGCGTGCGTGGTGTGCGTGGCGTGCGTGGTGTACACGGTTGTCCTCCGTGTGTGGCCGCTTGCAGTGAATCGTCCTCATGGCAGGGAAAGGGCAGCGCGGTGGTGTGTACGTATGTGGGAACCGTCAAGCAGTTGAGGACGAGCGTCATGTTTTGCTTGAGTGCCCTGTGTACGCGAATATTCGCACCAAGCTATTTGAGCTTGGAATGTCTCCTGAGGACCGCATGATAGACGTTATGGGCGTTGAGAACCAACGCGGACTAGCACATCTTTTGGATCATATCAGAAGATGCAGGTTACAATTTATTGATGATTAAATATGTTTTTACAGTAAGGTTAATTTACTACCTTTACATGTTCTTGTTTCCAGTTCGGCGGTTCATGAGCCTCTTGGCTCGTTTGGACCGTACAAGCTTGAAGCTTGTAACACAAAAACGTGAAAAACGTGAAACGTGTCCTCCGTGTTATTCGTACGAATTCATTCAATTATGTTCTCGAATTTTGTTTGAATTTGTTCGAATTTGTCTCGTGACGTGCGTACTGCTTGGCGTTTTCCTTTTGCTCTTCCTGCAACCCATTCCTGCGCGGGCTATGCCAGCTATATGTGGGCCGGCTGTAGTGTCCTGGGTATCAAGGGATCTAGCATACGCCGATCGGTTCTTTTCCTGCGATAAGACGTGATATAACACCGGCCTTTCTCAGGTTGACATTCACTGACAACCAAACAGACGGACAGACAGACAGACACAGTTTTAGACTGTCGGAAGGCGGGAAGGTGCAGGATGCAAAACTGGGACGTGTACCAGTACAAAAAGAGATGCGTTTGGACGACTATTTACTGAGGAAGGCTTACGAAGAGGAGCTAACTTAAAGCAGAGGTTTTGGCCGGTGAATAGTACAGCGGCTGGAGGGTGGGGGCCCACTGGGGGGGAGGGGCTTTTCAATTGCTTGCCGCTGCGGCGCTATGTCGTGTCGTTGTCGTTGTCGTCTTTAGAAGTCTATATATGCACGGGTATTTATATCATAAACGTTTGGACGCATCATCTCATTAT